AACAGAGCTGCTTGGGTTTTCTGCGCGTTGAACTGTACAAGGTTTTTGTTACCCCAGTCCTCCATTATCTCCAGGTCGTTATTTATCTGCGATATTTGAGTTAGTCTAAGATGATGAAATTCACGTGCGGAAAGACCTGTGGGTGGTATGAGTGAGGAGACTACATTGCCATCGTCTGCAAAACAATAAAGTGGATTTACTGTTTTATCTATGAGGTCATTTATGTAAATCAGAAAAAGAGTTGGCGAAAGGATTGCTCCCTGTGGCACACCAGCATTTATTTGGTAAGAGTTGGAGTTCTGGCCATTCAGTGCAACATAAATGGATCTGTCCTTTAGGTAACTTTCAAACCAAGTGCAAAGTTTCGGCGATAATCCCATTGCTTTGAGCTTGTTGAGCAGATTTTCATGCCAAACTTTGTCGAATGCTTTAGATATATCTAGGGCAATTGTTCTTGTTTCACCCCGCAACTCAATCGATTTTTGCCATAAGTGAGTGACGTATGTAAGTAAATCGCCAGTTGACCTATATTTTCGAAATCCGTATTGCTTATCGTTGATAATTTTGTACTTTTCCAAGTACTTGGTTAGGTGATTGTTCACAACTCTTTCCATTAATTAAGGAAATAATTCCACACCCACAGAGAATTAAAAGAGGACTTATCAATATAGCAGGTTCAGTTTTCAAAGCAGTCAGTGGCAATTTGGACGCCGCTGATGGAGAACGCTACGAACAATTAATTGATAATTTGCAAAATAATCAAAATAAGCTGGCAGAAAGTATTTTGAACCAAAATTCAATATCACTAAACGTAATTGCTAAATTTAATGACACCATAACACAAGTTGGCAAACACGAAAAGCTGTTAGAGTCTAAAATAAAACAAATATCCTGGATTGTACAAAAAGGTACAATGAAACGCTATTTTCATTAAAGACGTTTTAAACCAGATGATTAATCTTTATGAAATTATCGATTCTGTATTGCAGGATGTTGAAAATTCTATCACCTTTTGTAAACTTAAAGTAATGCATCCAAGTAATATAAAAACCGAAGATCTTTTTTCAGAACTTAAAAACCTGGAAAAACGAGTCAGCTCGAGTTAATTACCTTTACAGATAGAATTAACTAACATACTTTCATGGGAAAAACTTATCGATATTGACTGTTTTTATTTTGAATAATAAAATCACTTACTTACTTACTGCATATTCCAATTGTTTTAAAAGAAAGTTTCGAAAATTTTTATTTATATTCAGTCCCTATTCTATCCCAGAGTCGGTTTAAGGTTATTTTGCCGCGTAATAAATTTCTGATAAGAAACAAATTGCACTATACATACCAAGACCAGGGCTGTCAAGAAATCTCACCCCAATGCTACACGCTACATATGCGAAAAAGAAAACCTAAAGGAAATCCATGGAAGAAGCCCCTGTGCAGAACAGTTGTTATCAGCTCCAAGAGCCACTTCAACCTGTAATCAAATCGAAGTCTACATAAGTCAGCCGATAACCAATCAATTGTCCACTTCCAATAAATGGCTAGTCGTCCTGCCCAGTGAAGAAATAATTGAAGTTAAATGCTTTGCCCAACAAGAAGAAATCAAACTAAGTGGAACCTACATCCTCGAAATTCCAAATGGTTGCCAAATTTCATTCAACGATCTCGTCATAATCAATAATCAAAAGACGACCAATGAAAGTATCCAACCCATACTTTTCCCGGATCTGAGTGAAACTTCAAGTCTCATGCCAATTTTAAACCTGAGCTTCCACCTAGATGACCTGAAGCTTGACGAATTACAAGAAATAAGGAGCCAGATCATCAGTAACCAACCCCACTTAGATTTCGACAAAGTTACCAAATTTCCATCAATTTGGACAATTTTAATATATCTTCTACTGATACTTGGCTGTGCCTTTATGTTTTACAGAAAATTCTGCCAAAAGTCCAGTCCACAAAGAAAACAAAAAGAAGAAGCCCTGAAGCTGCAACCGATTCAAATACCCAGTCCGCAAAGAAACCAAGAAGAAGAAGAAGTCCTGAAGCATCAACCGATTCAACTACCCTGACGGTATAGTTGAATTCAGGGATGGAGGAGTTCTGTCACCACCAAACGGCTAAACAAGCTGAGTCGACATGCTGACCCCGCATAATTTATATTATAAAATAATTAGAATTGTATTGTTAGAGTTAGTCAGTATTTTTAAGTGCTTTTGTAATAATCTAAAATAAATGTTTTTTAAAAACGAAGTTGGCCTATCGAGATAGTTAACTGACTGGTTGATGAAGAACTTAGGGTAATTGTTTTGATGTAAGAGGCAGGATATAATTTTCAAATTTTCAGACTGGAAAGAATCGTGACTAAGTTTAACGGCTCTATGGCAAAGGTTATGGATAGTATTAAGCTTGTGTTGGGTAGGGTTATTAGATTTAAAATTCAACAATCTCCCTGAACTTGTTGGTTTCCTATACCAGTTTGTCTTCAATGATCCATCACATTCCCTGTGTACCATAACCTCTAAAAAGGGCACAACACCATTTCCTTACAAACCATACCTTTAATTTTAATGATATAAAAATTCTTGACAAGAAGACAGGTTATGTGAAGCGTTGAATAAGTGAGATAATACATACAGATTACCGATAATATCAATCTAAGAACTGAGGTTGCGAACCTTAGCAATACTAACATATTAAAATCAGGGATTCTACTTCCTATCGTAATTATTAACAGAGAAGCCGTAGTTCTTTAGTGTTTTTGTGTTTTTTTTTCGTTCCGTTTTTTCTTTCTTCAAAGTTTATACCTAACAATAAACCACTTCACTGTGAGAACCGCTCTGCTGCTGGCGTGTTTATTTGACTTGGATTTTTAATTTCAATTTTCTCAATTTTCAATTTTTAATTTTGACTGATTTTAACTGTAATGTCCAGCTTCGTGTTTTATGTGCCTTATATGTATTTGGAATTTTTAGCAATGACGTTATATTTGGAAGGTATGTTGATATAATTTTAATATTTATGTTTTTTTTGCTTACATTATTTTCCTTATTTGTTTGTTAATTTTATTTTATTTTATCTACAAGCGTTTGGTTATGACGTTTTTACATAACCATTTTTCTAGTATTTGAGTTACGTCATGAGACTCATAACACAACTAGTGGTGTTATAGACTAGGTTATGAATTCATAACACAACTAGTGGTGTTATGGACGAGGTTATGAGTCTATAACACAACTATTTTTGGTGATTTGACAAATGCCAAAGGTAAACCTGTAAAGGTAAAATGCAGGTAGACAACTATTAATGAACGAAAATAATTGGAAAAATATTCTCATTTTTCGCTTTGTAGATAAAACGTTGTACATCACACGTGCGTTTAAACATGACTACAAAACTCGTGTGATTAGAACGACTCGGTCTACGACCTACGAGGTCGTAGACCGAGTCGTTCTAATCCTTCACACTCGTTATTGTAATCATGCTCATAAACGCACTTGTAATGTAAATAACTATTATTTTTTTCTTCTCGAACTTTTTAAATGTCCACAGATTAGTTTAATTTTTTTTTTCTCAATATTTTAATGATTTAATTAATTTTTATTCTTTCTATTTTAAATGCATAATAGTTTAAATTTACTTAGAGTTTTGGATACTTAATCAATCTTTTAAATTTTTCCCTTTTAATTCTTTAGTTTTATTACCAATTTCTCATGTAAACCATATTTTTAGCTTGAAGAAGATCAAAATATACGGTCGAAATGTCGCTGAATAAATAACAATGTCTTTTTTTTTGCTGTCCCATTCCCGCTACTCCTTTTCACTGTTGTGTGAAGCAGAGACGATACCACATAATAGCAATTATTGATAGGTGGTGTTTTCTACAAATTAAAATATGAATTTAATATACCTAGATAGAATTTGAATAACTTTGGAACATATCAAGTTGTCTATTAGTGCTATAATAGTTATTTGCCAAGTGTTACGATAAATTTATCATTTTCGTAACACGTTCCAATTCTTCTAATTTTCATTATAAAGTTGTATTTTCGCCATTTCAGAATCAGCGAAATAATAATTCATAATTCAAGTAATCTGGAAAGTATCTAAATTTAATTAATTCAATATAATCAGGGATGTGCATCTACACATAGACTTTCATTGTCTACTTTACGTGTAGATAATCACGTAAAATAGTAAACCATGTAGACAATGTAGACAAGGTGTCAACAATCCAGGTATTTTTTTGATCTGAACAAACTGATCGAAGTCACTTGAGGTTTGTTTCAAATAATTGCCATCCGGCTTTACAACGATTTCTTTGGCCCTAACTGTTTTTTTTGACGATTCATAAACAAACCTTATGTGATTACAATTAGTTTGTTCAGATCGAAAGAATACCTGGAATGTAAAATATGACGTTTAATTCTAACCTCACACTTGTTTTGTATTGTAAAGCTTGTTTTGTAATTTATATTGATTTTTCGCAAACCTTAATTCTTGATTTCTTGTATTAAAATGAGTGGAAGAAAAGTAAATAAGGCTTATTAAAATTTAGGATACAAGCTCCTAAAGTTGAAAATTGATAAAAAGATGTATATAAAGCGCTATGTTCAGGTTAAAAATGCATAGGTTGGTATTTAAATTTGTATACAACAATATCGTCAATAAATATTCCTAATACCGAAGTAAACATTTCCTACCAATTGCCTTCAGAAATATTTGTATTCGAGAGAAACACAAGAGGGACTTCAGCAGCGACAGTAAAGGCGACCGCACATTGAGACGCAGGTGACACAGGTGACGCAGGGCAGCGCAGTGCAGGTTTCTGTATTCAGTGTAATTTAATAGACACGCGCGAATTGGAACGCAGAGTAGGGTAGCACAGAACTATGTTCGAATAAACCTGCACCCCGCAGTCTCCCGGACACAGTTTATTGCGCGACGTGCAGGATAGCTTTGCATTTTAAAACGGTTCTCCGAGGTATTTCCAAAATATTATGCATGAACAATTGATTGAATTGGTGAGCAGGCACACAATTCTCTATGACACCAACGATCCCAACTATTTGAAATCCAAATTAAAGGATGAATTATGGAATGACATCGGAAAAGAAGTAAAATTAAAAAGTGGTAAGTTAAACGGATACATTTTATTTAGTTAGATAGAGGCCAGCAGAGTTTGGCTACAAAATTATCAGTACGTAGGTGCCTATATCAAGGCAGCACATTGATACGTCAGAATAATATCAAAATTTTCCTTGTAAAACACTTGCTTCTTGCCAAGGTATTTGTCCTTCTGTAATAAAATATTGCGTGAATTTTTGTCTTATTAGAAAAGCGTTTGAAGTACTTCTGATATTACTGTTTCGCAATGGAAGTAGCTGACTTGTAGGCATTTCAGCATCGGTTCCATCTATGTTGCTACGGGCTTCTTTACACCCTCTTAAGTAATTGTGAAGGACGCACGCTGCTTTTGTAACATTCACGACGCTTTCAACTTTAATTTCAAAAGGTTTTCTGAACACACGAAATCGAGAAGCGAGTATTCCGAAGGCACATTCAACACATTGACGGGCTCGTGACAGCCTATAGTTGAATATTTTATTTTCATGATTACCAGTGACACTTTGCCTCGGATAGGGTCGCATCAAATTTTCTGTTAGCGGAAAGGCCTCATCAGCGACAAAAACATATGGTAAAGGTTCTTCAGCTGTGTCGAATAAAGTCGGTTGTGGAAGACCCAAAGTGTTTCTTATCATTTTCTTGCCTAGTGGGCTGCTTGAGAAAACGTTACCATCGCTGAATCTACCCATAGACCCTACATCAATGGTAGTAAATTTATTATTCGCATCAACGGTAGCCATCAAAACAACGGAGCAATTCTGTTTATAATTGTAATATGAGGAGCCAGTATTTGGTGGTTTTTTAATAACTATATGTTTCCCGTCGACAGCTCCCACGCAATGAGGAAAATGCCATTTTTTTTTCAAAATCCAATGAAATAGCTTGCCACATATCAGTAGTTGGTTTTGGCAAATACACGGGTTGCATTTTGGTCCATATTGCAGCAGACACCTCATTTACTATTTTAGCAACTGTTCGATCCCCCATTCTATAGCTGTACGCTATGCTTCTGTAGCTATCTCCAGTAGCCAAATATCTGCAAAGAAACTTAATGTAACTAACTACTTCTCAAACATACCTGCCAAATTTATTTTTATGCTCAAGTACCTATATGTAATTTTTTTTTCGGTGGCAACCTCGGTGGCAACTTATTCTATACATGCAATATTGCAATAATCCTTCATCCCTATCAGGCCTAAATTTCATTATCATGTTAAAAAAAAATAGAAAGCATTTTGAGTATAGCTAGGTAGTCTAGGTACTCCAAAATCTAACTTTTTTGCAGGGAATGAAGCAAAAACACTTTGGCTAAAGCTGCTTAACTGCCACCGCGATGCACTGCGAAGACAGAAAAAGTTTTTAAGAAGTGGAGCTTCTGCTGTCGCCATAAAACAATGGAAATATCAAAAACAAATGCAGTTTTTGGTTCCATATATGCCAAACAGACCACGTGAAGGTAACTTAGAGAAAGATAGTGAAGATGGAGATAGACAGCAAGGGGAATCCGCAGCAGTTCCAGAAACTGAAATTTTTGAGAGTGAAGCAGAAACTAGCGACAATCGACAGGACTACGAGGAATTTGAGTTTGACGATGTTGTTAATGAGCCGTCTACGTCTGGTACTCGTCGTATCCAAGAAAATAAGGAGGAAAAACTTACCAAACGAAAAGTATCTGAAACTGAAGACCGGTCAATCAATTTCACACCTGTATCTAAAACTAAGAAAAAAAAGGAAGACGATATGCAGGAAGTAATAAAACAATCAATGATTCAACGTCAAAAAAGAGCCGAAGAAAGATTAATTGAAAGGACACAGAAGCCTGAAGATGATGATCTTTATCATTTTTTTATGTCAATGTATCAGATAACAAAAAAAATACCTTCAAAGTTTCAGCATCTTGCGAGAAAGGATGTGTTTCAAGCTGTAGCAAAAGTAGAAGCTGCATATCTAGGAATTCAGAATCCGACTCAACAAAACGATTATCATACTGAACGAAGAGCTTTTCCATATACATATGTTAACACTCATACTCCGCATCCCCACTCCTCTTACTCGTCAACACCTCTTCCATCAACAAGCCCAAATTCTCGCAGTAGCCATCATAATGAATATCAGAGTTATAGAAGCCCTGCAACTTCTCTTTCCAATAGCTCTTATCCGACCGTTTCAACACCACTTCCTCCACTCTCGAATACCTACGACCTACAATCTGACAGCAGTTCACCAACTACATTCACAAATTACATGCCTGCTGCAACACCTCTCCAACCTACTACTACCGGTGATGTTCGAAATTTTTTTGAAAATTTTTCAGCATAGAATGTTGATTGTTTAAACTGAATACTTATTTGAATAAAAATATTACCTTAAACATATAGCTAGTTTTTCTTTAGTTCCTATTGGTTTTTGGGCGTTACAACCATCTGAATAAATACAGTTTTCAATCGTATTATGTACTTCATCAAATTGCTTTCTGCTTAACCGAAAATAATTAGTAAAAACAGGCTCAGAAAATTCGGAGGACAGTGCAAATTCTCCGTGAGTATTTCTTCTCTTCATATAGTTGCTTTTCCAAAATGATTTTTTCCTCTTAGAAATATTGTATAACAGAACAGTTTCTTCGAATTCTGCGTCCGACTCAGACTCGGAACTGTCCAAAAACAACTCCATTTTCAAAATAAAGAAAAAAGCCTTTTCTGTAGGTATAACGCACTCGCACCCCAAAACTTTTAACAAAACTGCCAACGTGCGGAACTTGCCTGCTTTCAAATATGCGCTCACACTGCGTCGCACGTACTTTTCCTGAACTGTGTCACCTGCCCTGCCTCGCCCTGCCCTGCGTTACCTGCATCTCAATGTGCGGCTTACTTAATACGGGCATATCAGATATATTTGATTTTGAAAATGAAATGGACACTCGGACCGAAGGTTCTATATGAAAGCCATATGTGAACATAGAGGATATGGAAATATTTTTTGGTGAAAATAACCCGAATGTTGAAATTGAATACGTTGATATGACTGAAGCAAGTTAATTTACTTTTGTATAACACTAACTACAGCCTACACTACAGTTATTATAATATACAAAAAACTGATTCTTTGTTTTAGTCTGAAGCATCCCAGCCATCTAGTACTAACATAGCACCTACACCAGTATGTAATAAACCTAAAGCATCAGCTTTTGATTTGCTATTTCAGTCGAGGGGCAATGCAGATAAAGAAAAAATTACTGAGAATAATGAAAATATAGATGACGATGCTGAGCATTCAGAAGAAATGAAAAAACCAAAGGGGAATAAAATAAGAAGTTTTGTAGACATATTAGGGAAAGGCGAAGATAAGAAAATTGAGGACGCGATAGTCAGATTCTTTTTTGGCTGCAACATTTCCCTGAGTGTGATTGATTCTGATCATTTTAAAAATTTAATTAAGGTTTTAAGACCTGCATATGCTAATAAGCTTCGAGGAAGGAAAGCACTTTCGACCACGATAATTGATAACACATACAATCAGTGTAGAGACGCAGCTTCCAATATTAGTGCTAATTCGGTATTATTAATTGATGACTGGAAGAACTCAGCAGTCGTTATATAGTACAAACATATACCTACTGTATTGTTTCTGACAATGCCAGCAATATGAAAAAGATGGCAAGACTTAGTGGTTTATGGCATAGTAACTGTGACAGCCACACAGCTAACGTCCAGAGCAGGGCAGTAGCTACTTTTTTTCAAAGTAGCTTGAATAAGTTATTAGCTACCAAAAAAGTAGCTGAGCTAGTAGCTTAACTACTTGGTAGCAGTAGCTAGCTACCATTCAAGCTACTTTGAAAAAAAGTAGCTAGCTACTGCTACCAAGTAGTTAAGCTACTAGCTTAGCTACTTTTTTGGTAGCTAATAACTTATTCAAGCTACTTTGAAAAAAAGTAGCTTGTAGCTGTAGCTTTTGGTAATGTGTTTCAAGTATTCATAAGCTACTGTGAAAAGTAGCTAGCTACTAAAACAAGCTACTTACGCTACTTTTGGTAGATAGTTAATAGTTATTTAGGTATTAATGGCGGAAAGTGTCATTTACCGCCCGAGGGTGTGGTTAACGATACTCGACGCCCAAAATACTTATTACGTTTTATGCGCAGCGGACTCTTCTAGTTCAAAAATAAAATAACTATACCTATAATATAATGGCATCCATTCGACATTGTTTTCAAAAATAAACAGTTTTCCCCTTATAAAGGCACGTTTCCACCAACCTATCGCCCGCGTTTGAATTTACCGCTCGATAAAAGTAACTTTATACTTTAATTGCTCAAGCTACAATTATCATTTTCCGGAAAATTCTTATCCTGCCTTGCTTAGACTAGTTTCTAGTTATCTCTGTAGGTACCTATGTTTTATGTGTCTTATTTTATTCTCGCATTCGCAGATCACTGTGATCAAAGTGAACCTAATAAATTAATGTCCAGTGGTTTTTGACAAAAATATGAATACTACTTCTTAGAGAAAGGTAATATGTTATTTTCGTATGATGGTATTATGAAATTAAATTAGGTAAGGCATGTACATTGATAAAAGTAGCTTAAATAGTAGCTTTCACTAATTCAAAATGTAGTTAAGTTACTAATAGCTTAGCTACTTTTTCAAAGAGGTAGTTGAGCTACTGAGTAACTTAGCTACTTACAATATAAAGTAGCTTGTAGCTCGTAGCTAGCTACTTTTTCCATGTAGCTTGCCCAGCTCTGCTAACATCTTAGCAAAAGATACAAATTTTCCTGAAATAAGTGATTGCTTGGAAAAAGCTAGAACTGTTTTAAAAACGCCGAACTGGAGAGACTAGTCATAGATAATGGTGAGCACAGGATGAAAGTGCCCTGTGAAACCCGGTGGTGTTCGAATAGAGATTCCCAATTTTATTTGGTTTCAAACCTACCCTTATGAGGAAGCTGGCGGCGGCCTCGAATGCTAAAATGAAACCGGAAGTTGAACTACTTTTGTTTGATGATGATTTTGAAACTAATTGTTAATCTACTATTAACTTACTCGATCCAGTTTGTGAGCTTATTAATAAAGCACAGTCTGAAAACTCCTCCTTATCAGATATGGTAAATTTATAGGTGAACTTAGAAAGCAACGATATATATTCAGAAAATAAAGCTTTTAAAGAATTCATAAAGGCAATTAAAAATAACTCCTAAAATATTTATGCCCTATGTGCTTATTATTTTGATATATCTAAAGATTCATCATTGTTTCCTAATGAATATAGAGATGAGGTAATAGTTTCCTAATAAGTGAAGTGGATAGAAAAAACATTGAACAGTGGATTTGTTTTAAGGAAAATAATGACATCTTTGCAACTTCAAAAGACAAAGGTATAAACAATGCATTAGTGTATTGGTAGGCCGTCGCTTGTAAATTTCCTGAGCTTGCTGAATTCGTTTTGAAACTGCTACGAATTCCAGCTTCATCAGCCCAATTAGAGCGACTATTTTCCAATTGGTCGTATGTCCATTCTAATCTAAGAAATAGGTTAATAGGCGGGCGGCAGAGGCCCATTTACGTTCAGAAACCCAATATTTTGGTATAACTTATTGAAACCCCACCATCTTATTTATTAGGTCATAACAAAAGAAAAATGTATACAGTGTGTCCCAGATTCGCTTCTCTATACAGGGATCTCGGCTCCTATTATACCTACAGCAAAGGGTAAATGGGGGAAGTTTAAGAGGAAGCTAAGTGCATTGGATAATCGGCTTCAGAATAACGATCGCTCAATTAGATTTGGAAATATCGGCGAAAGACCGAAAATGACGGATTTCGTTTTTTGCCGGTTAACCCGAAACGGTTAATTTGCCAGCTGTCAAAATATGACATTATTCAGACACTTTTTCAAGACCAATGAGATAGCGTGTACGACATGTCTCAATCGTCTTTTGTTATTCCGTGAGCCGCCTCAACTTTCATTTTTATTATGGGCGCCACATTGGATTATTCGAGTTTTGAAAAAAGCATAAAATTTCCAGTCTAGTGATGCCTCACAAGTGGATAAAAGATTTGAGTATTATCGAAAAATCACACTTCGTAAAGTTAATGTCTGCTCAACGATTCTGAGGCTACGGGGCATCGGTGAGGGAAATGCAGTTGTAGAAAAAATGACTGAGTTTATTCATAAACTACTTACCCAGCTGCGTGCGGAACTTTTCGGACGGGTAATATCGTATTGCAACTCTTACACGAAAATCGACAATGACCAAACCACCGCCACTGGATATTTCAATGTAAGTCGATATTTCAAGATGGAAGGATACAATTACGGGTACCCTGACCAATAGCGAAACGTAAGCCCCATCACAACCGCATGGTTCCCCATGGCAACGGTTTGCCAAAAACTCCACCGATCACGTTCATCCAGGCCGGATGTTTGCCAAATTGACAAGAGATAATGGTATGTTTAGAAAATATTTTCTTTTGTGAATAGACAGAATAGACCTATCCTATCTCGCATAGATAGAAAAAGAGAGCTTAATTGTAATAAATACAAGTTAGAAAGTAATAAAAGATGACATGCGCGCGCAACTCGTGGCTACAGTATAGCCAGATTGTATTGTTGCTGAACAAATGTAGACAATACCAATCGAATATTATAACATTGGAAAAGTGATATTTTAGTGTCAAGTGTTTTACAGCGCCTAAATCAGAGAAAGGAAGAGCTTTAAAGTGTATGTAAACATTGTTTGCACTTTTATTTTATGATAAATAATAGGTCTGTTTCTGCAGAAATCACAAACCAGTCAGAGTGAATTTCATGGGTTGAATCTAGTTTCCTGACTGTTTTCAACCAATGAAATTCGCTTTGACTGGTTTGAGATTTCTGCAGAAACAGACCTATTATTTATCATAAAATAAAAGTGCAAACGAAGTTTACATACACTTTAAAGCTCTTCCTTTGTCTGATTTGAGGCGTTGTAAAACACTTGACACTAAACTATCACTTCCTCAATGTTATAATGTTCGATTTGTATTGTCTACATTTGTTCTGCAACAATACAATCTGACCACACTGTAGCCATGAGTTGCGCGCGCATGTCATCTTTTATTACTTGAATTTATTACAAGTTAGCTGTCTTTTTCTATTTATGCGAGATAGGTCCTGTCTATTCTCAAAAGAAAGCCTTTTCTAAACATACCATTAGCTTTTGTCAATTTGGCAAACATCCGGCCTGGATGAACCTGATTGGTGGAGTTTTTGGAACGCCGTTGCCATGGGGAACCATGCGGTTGTCATGGGGCTTACGTTTCGCTATTGGCCAGGGTACCCGTAATTTTATCCTTCCATCTTGAAATATCGACTTACATTGAAATATCCAATGGCGGTGGTTTGGTCATTGTCGATTTTCGTGTACGAGTTGCAATACTATATTATACGTCCGAAAAGTTCTGCATGCAGCTGGGTAAGTAGTTTATGAATAAAGTCGCCATTTTTTTTACAACTGCATTTCCTTCACCGATGCCCCGTAGCCTCAGAATCGTTGGCCAGACATTAACTTTACGAAGTGTGATTTTTCGATAATACTCAAATCTTTTATCCACTTGTGAGGCATGACTAGCCTGGAAATTTTATGCTTTTTTCAAAAATCGTGAAATCCAATATGGCGGCCATAAGAAAAATGGAAGTTGAGGCGGGTTGCGGGATAACAAAAGACGATTGAGACCTATCATGCACGCTATCTCATTGGTCTTGAAAAAGTGTCTGAATAATGTCACATTTTGACATCTGTCAAATTAGCCGTTTCGGGTCAACTGGCAGAAAACGAAATCCGTCATTTTCGGTTTTTCGCCGATATTGCCAAATCTAATTGAGCGATCGTTATTCTGAAGCCGATTATTGAATGCACTTAGCTTCCTCTAAAACTTTCCCCATTTAACCTTTGCTGTAGGTATGATAGGAGCCGAGATCCCTGTATAGAGAAGCGAATCTGGGACACACTGTATACGGCGACTTTTAATTTTGGTCGAGACAAAAGTTACGTCACGAAAACGGAGAAATGAGGTTCAAAAATCGTACCATTAATATTTTTCCTTCGAGCGTACGGGAAAAGCTCATTTTTCGCACGCCTTGGCGTGCAGCAAGAAAAATTTTCCACACTAGTGTGTAAAATTAGGAAAAATTGTTTAGGTAATCCAATTTTTCCGCACTTATTAGGAAATTATTTCCTACGAGCGGTGCAAAAAACTGTAAGTGCGAAAAGCTCATTTCCGTAAGGAAAATAACTACTTTCCGCACTCATGCGCAAAATTATTACTGCATGTTTCGGATTAATAACTACTTATTAGGTTTTGATAATGTACAGTGTGTCCCGCTTAAGGACTGACCACCCTTTTAAAATTTTTATTTTTCAACCGATTCAATTAATTTTTTTTGTCTTATATCTACTCGAATTTGACACTTATTTGGCTAATAATTTTAGTTCTGCGGCTGTACTGGTGTACAGGGTGTCCACATTTATAGGCACAAATTTCGATAAGTACTATTAGGGATTTTTTTAGAAAAAATCTGATAGCAGATTCTTGTTCAGAATGGTCTAAAACCCAACTGTA